CCACTTACTGACTACTCTGTGGCTGAAAAAATACTCCTAACATCCCTGTGATTCATCTGTGTCTTCAGCTTCCAACTGTGTCCCCTTGTTACTGTGTCCAATCTCTGGAATATCCTGTCTTTGCCCACCTTGTCAATTCCTCTCAGTATTTTGTATGTCGTTATCATGTCCCCCTATCTCTCCTGTCCTCCAGTGTCGTCAGGTTGATTTCCCTTAACCTCTCCTCGTAGGACATACCTCTTAGCTCTGGGACTAGTCTTGTTGCAAACCTTTGCACTTTCTCTAGTTTCTCACGTGCTTGGCTAGGTGTGGGTTCCAAACTGGTGCCGCATACTCCAATATGGGCCTAACGTACACGGTGTACAGGGTCCTGAATGATTCCTTATTAAGATGTCGGAATGCTGTTCTGAGGTTTCCCTAGGCGCCCATATGCTGCAGCAGTTATTTGGTTGATGTGCGCTTCAGGAGATGTGCCTGGTGTTATACTCACCCCAAGATCTTTTTCCTTGAGTGAGGTTTGTAGTCTCTGAACCCCTAGACTGTGTATGTGTATGAGTGTGTGTGTGTGTATGAGTGGGTGTGTGTGTGTACTCACCTATTTGTAATTTACCTATTTATGGTTGCAGGGTCGAGTCTTAGCTCCTGGCCCCGCCTCTTCACCGGTTGCCCCTTCACCGGGATGAGTGGTGTGCGTGTGTGTGAATGAGTTTGTGTATGTGTGTGTGTGTGTTTTATGTGTGGTGTGTGGGGTGTGTGTGTGTGTTGTGTGTGTTGTGTGGTGTGTCTCAACAATCAATATTTGCACCAATAACTCATTACAGTTGTGACCGGGGGTGGAAGTGTGAATTGCTCATTACACTATAATTTGTTCATGATTGTACCATGTATAAACGAATCCCATTTTTACGTATTCTTTACCTTTGAAACTTTAGTTAAACCCTTTTGTCCAATTACCATCAAATTTTGGGGAGCCCAGCCCCGGACCATTACGTCCTCTGAATCTGAAAATACCTTTTAACTTGTCATGTTTGTGACTAACCTACCCGGATTTTCATTACCTTTGTAATTTGTAAATCACTACCTTTGTAAATTTTAATTCATTACCTTGAATTTTGCTCACTACAAAACTTTGGAGCCAGTCCTGGACCAATTTTTACCTCGTAATTTTTTGACAACCCCCCAAAGGGATGGTATGGGGTACATAAACATATTAAACTAAACCTCGAAAACCACCACGTCATAACCCACAAGTTCTCTGGACCTATAATTAAATGAAATTACATAAACACCGGGAAAAACGGGAAAATTATAAATTTGTGGACTGGATTAATAAAATAAAGGGTTTATATAAATAAACAATTACATAACAAAGGAAAATAACAAAAAATCCTCAAAATTTGACGGGAGATTAAGTTTCATCTCAAAAAACCCTCACTCTAAAAACTATAAAATAATCTGGCCAGAATTTACACACAAATCTGAGAGCTTACGGGGTTTCCTGAGCTGTCTTTCCAGTCTCTGATATCCAAGTTATGCGGGAATGCACTCCACCAATTTCGCCTCCATTTGAAGGGTCAACATAATTTTAAACTCTAGGCACGAAAAATTCTCCCTTACCCCAACGTTTGACAAAATTCAAAAACCAAGATGGCAGCTCCTGCTCAACGCAGGCTTTTCCGTTTTCTATGACAAAATTTTATTAAATACATATGGCCCATCTATTTACATATAAATACAAAATTTCTGGAAAATAAATACAGTATTTTCCACAATAATCTAGTAACTGTTTTTGTGTATACCGAATAAAACTTACAGCCACCCAATTGCCACATACTTTAACCGCTCTGGAACATTGTCAGTCAGGCGCTTTACCACACCTTAGGTTTTTCATCATAACTGCACTAGGAAAATCACAGGATAGGATAGGCCTACACAGACAATAAAAATGAGGTCAACTAAAACTACAGTAAAGAAACACTGGTAAAAAACGCTACAAAATTGTGCGGGACAGAGATAACAATTCACACAAATGATGCCGGGGAAAATTAAAAAAACAATGTTCACACCATCTTTGTAATATTGCACCATTAAAGAGGGGATTAAACAAAGAACTGAACCCTGGATGACTGCTGAGATATTAGATAATATAAATTCAAAAACCTTGCTAAAAAGTTTAAAAAGCAAACAGACAGGATTTTGCAGCACTAAAAAATTCCAAGGGTGGGAACAATGCAGAGACTTAAAAAGGGGACAAAGGAAAAGCACTATTGCTAAAAAATTAAGATATAACAAACCCAGAAAACCGGAACAACAAAACATTGGGGGTAAGCCAAAAACCCATAATAAGTCAAACAATACCCACAAACGTAACGAGGTACCACAAACATCTAAGGGGGCAAATTGCTTTAATTCCTACTACACATCTTTTTTCATCAACACTAGTAAAAAAATACTAGCTGCTCAAATACCTTTAACACAACTCGGGTAAGTTTAAAAACATACTATACCAATAAAGGGGTAACCCCAAAAGTTGTCAACTAGTAAGTGTATCTCAAGCTTTATCAAAAAGAACTAAGCATTAAAAACCCAAAAAAAACACTGGCCCGGAAACTCCCGTCAAAAAAGTGTTTTTAACCCTTAAACCTTATTTCAAAATAATCACCAAACCCTAAAACCCCCGGGTGGGTTTAAAGGAGGAAATTCTCTTCTAAAAAAATAGTAGGGCCCCGTTTTTAAACAATTACCCTTTTGAACCGTTAAACCAAATTTTAAAAGGGGGGACCTCATAATTAAACCCTTTTTGAAACAAAATTTAAAAAACCCACTCTATCCTTTTTGGATGAACCCCCCGTTTTTTCAGGGACCTCAAGAAAAAATTGGCCCCAAAAAACCACAATGAACCTTTTTAGGCCCTTTGGGGCGAATTTCCCCCCTTAAAGGAGTTTATTCCGGCAAATCAAAAACAAAAGGATCAGAATGAAAAGGTTTTTGGGTCCCCGAATTTGGGGCCCTTTATTCAAAATTAAATTTAGGCTGGTACAGTTTTTATGCAAATTTACTGTGAATTTATTCTATTCAAAAAAAACCCCAAATTTTTTTTTTACAAAAGTGGGGGAAAATTGCGCAATGGTTTTGACACAAACTTCGAAAGGTTTTTTTTCACATTTCCGGAAAGGCAAAAAAGGGAAATGGGGGAAAACGTCTGGGGTCCGGGGTCAAACCCCTAAAATGCCTGGGGAACCCGACCCTTAAAAGGGATCCGGGGTTTTGGAAAACCCCAAATTTTCTACTGGGCGCGGACCAGGGTTTGTTTAATAAAAACCATATGGGCCCCTTCTGGAGGGGGCCCGGGGAAAAAATTTAAAATTAAAATTTTTCAAGGACATTTAAAAAAACCGGGGGTGGGGGCCGGCTGTGGAGGAAATTTTAAACCTTTTTTGTCATTTGAAACGGGGACATTGGGGCCGGGAAAATGGGCCCGGGCCGGGTACAGGTCCATTTTCCCAAAGGGGGGAAAAAGGAGGGCTGACAGAGAAAACAAAATTTGGGGGGAGGTAAAAAGGGTTTTCCAAAAAATTGACAGAAAAATTTGGGGGACGGGACGGGAAAGGGAAAGGAAAACGACCCAAAAAAGGGGTCAAAGTGTCGAAGTCCAGAAAAAGGGGGATGTTTCATTTTGGGAAACTTTTTGGGGGTATCGGGGGAAAATTTCAGGAAAGGGGGGGCCCCGTAATAGATAGCCTAGCCCGGAGAGGCAGAAGGGTTAAAATCTCTCAAGATAAAATAAAAAATATTAAAAAAAGGCCCGGGGAAAACCCCGGAATAAGGGAAAATTGGGTTTTAGAAACCTAAGGGGAGCTTGTATTAATCTTTAAAAAATGGTGTGAAAAGGGGAAAACTTTCGTAGCCTTTCGCAAACGGGGTAAAATTTTAAAGGAGTAACAGGGGGGTGGGGCCGGGGGCGGGGAAATTTTTGACCTCTTTGGCACGAAACAAAAAACTGAGAAGGGCAAATAATTTTAATGTCCAGTGTAATGGGGAGCCCATCGCTTTGGTTTCATCAGTAAAATATCTGCGAATCCCCTTTGACCCATGCATGTCAGGAGAATTGATAGGGAACAGTGTAGTAAAGAAAGCGAATGCCAGACTGAAGTTCCTGTATAAACAAGCAGTGTCTACCTACTGAGGCTCGCAGGACCCTATGTCTAGCTCTTATACAATGCCATATGGATTACGCTTGCTCTTCATGGTACTCTGCCTTGACAAAAAAACTGAAAGATAGACTGCAAATCACCCAGAACAAAATCGTAAGATTCATCCTGGGGCTGGGGCCAAGAGAACATGTAGGCCAGGATGAATTACAGCAGTTGGATATGCTGAATGTTGAAGACAGAGTAAAACAACTGAAGCTAAACCATGTTTATAAAATTGCTCTCAGTGTCCAGAATATCTTGTTGTCAATTTTGTCAAGGTTGGGAACCAAAGCAGTCATAGTACTAGGGAGAGAGAGCACAACTTTGTAGTACCCACAGTCATTGGCCAGGCTTCAAACACCTTTTATTGTACAGCAATAAAGGAATGGAACAGACTGCTCGCACATGCCAAAGCCAGTCATAGCATGAACCAGTTCAAGAAGAGTGTCAAAAGGTGTCTGATGAATGTAGCTACAGAAAGGGAGGGGAATGATTTTCTATTTTTTAGCTAACATACGTGTAAATTTTACCTTATTCCTAGTAATGACCCTCGTATTGTAGATAGCCTTAATGACCCTCGTGTAGTAGATAGTCTTTTTAGTATGATAATAAGATGTTATCTTCATTATAGAATAAAATAAAAATAAAAATATTATAACCTTTATATTATAATAATAAGGTAAAAGGACCCCAATGGAAATAAGTCACTCTGTCTGACTTTTGGGGTTATCCTAGGTTCTCTACACATATGCTGCTATGTATGATAATTCTATGTAACTGTATTTGTGTATACCTGAATAAACTTACCGTACGCCAGCAGCGCTGAAGCTCGAATCTGTAATATGTAGTACGGTTAACATGTGTGTTTGGTCCTGACAGTGTTGCCAGACATTATTATACAGTAGCGACCTTCGGCGTGTTAGTAAGCAGAAGTAAAAGTAAGGAAGTAAAGTAAATAACTAAAGTAGTAAAAGTAAGTAAACCAAGTGATAGTAAGTAAAGTAAGGAAGTAAAATAATTAACTGAAAGTAAATGTAAGTAAATAAGTATTCCAATCTCATTGTATCTGCCAGCCATTTCAAAGCTACTTTTAAAAAACACCTCCCTAATTTAATGTGATCCTGACAACAGTTCATTACCCTGGCAACAATTCCCAAAACCCTAAAATCCTGCCTTTCAACCAGTATTGTCCGTGTCTTGTTCCATTATTCCTTCAACTCAAGTACCTTAAAAAAAATTTAATGAATTACTGAATACCTCCAATGTTATATAACTACGTATTCCAATTGTCATGTACTAGTAGTCATAATTTAGTCCGAAATGCCTTACATAGCTGGAGGGTGCTTCAGGGGTCAACGCCCCCGCGGCCTGGTCCATGACTAGGCCTCGTGGTGGATCAGGGCCTGATCAACCAGGCTGTCACTACTGGTCACACGCAAACCGAGGTACGAACCACAGCCCGGCTGGTCAGGTAGTGACTGGGTATCTGTCCAGCTCCTTCTTGAAGACAACCAGGGTTCTGTTGGTAATCCCCTTTTGTATGCTGGGCCATCTATAAAGTACTTTTGCTGGCCCGGGTCTTTTCCAGATGGTGACCTGGCCAGTTAATATATGTCAGTTACTCTAACTGTATAATTTACTGTATTCCACTTTATAGAAATAAAGTTTATGTAAATGTAAATAAGTAAAGACTTATGAATAACTGTAAACTTTTACAATAGTTTTACAGTGCATTTTTTGTAGAATTTGCCTAGATAACCGATTAAGGTCAAGTATTGTGATTTATTAATAGATTAAAACAGAATCAATGTGTTATTAATCCTAAAAAAAAAGAGGAATAAAGTTGCATCTTAGGCTCACACCTGGAGGACCTGAGATTAATCCTGGCATGAGTGGAAACGTTGCGCATGTTTCCTTACATCTGCTGCCCCTGTTCACCTAGCAGTAAGTAGGTACCTGGGTGTTAGGTGAAAGCTTTGGGTTGCATCCTGGGAATAGGATCGCAGAACCCCACTGGAAATAAACCAAATTGATTGGTTTTTTTTCCAGGTTATTCTGGGTTTACTAACCTTGCGGATTAATAGTAAAACCAAATCTTCAAGGATATTTCGATTTCTTATCATGTGTGAAGCGTCTGTGTAGAAGTCTGTAAAAAATAGCAATAGTATCTTAATTTGATATTTGCATTAGTGGAAGGAACGTAATTTCTGGTCTTAGTATAATAGCTTCATTAAGCTCCCTATATCCACAAGATAGGTATTGTGTGCAGCCAGTGGGTACAGCTTTATTATGCACCCTATACCCACAGGATGGGTACTGGGTGCATCCAGTGGGCATGAGTATGATATTGTGTTAATATTTTTTTTACAAAAAACTCAAAACCTCTATAACATGCATTGCCCAATAAAAACTAAGCAGATCACAACAAAGAGACTAAACTTCCCCTGGCTTACAAATAGCATCCTCAAATCTATTGATAAAAAAACATCTATGTGAAAAACAGTACAGAATGGGTCTAATAACAAAGGCTCTCACAAAACGTTACTCATCAATACTAACCAATCTAATAAGGTCAAAAAAAAATTGTATTATGAAAACAGATTTCTTGACATAAAAGGTGATATGAAAAAGACCTGGAAAACCTTATCTGAAATTCTAGGAACAAAAAAGCTGTCAAAAACAGACTGATTAAATTAACTAAACCAGATGAACCTCTCCTTCAGCCAACTGATACTGCCAACAAACTTGATGGTCTTTTTCTCTATCGTAGGAACAAAACTAGGAAGTAAAATCCCAAGCTCAAACATTCAACCAAAAGACTACCTCACTGGCAACTACCCTAATACTCCGTTTTTAGCCCCAACAAACCCAACTGAAATCTCACTTATCATCAAAACACTAAAGAACAAGACAGGGGACCTAAATAACTTTCCATCACTCATGTATAAAAAAGCTTCTCATGTGTTGTCACCAATTATTGCAACTCTTCTTAGCAAATATATTGAATCTTCCACCTTCCCATCCAAACTTATATATCCATACCTCACCTATGCTATCTGTGCTTGGAGTTCAACTGCAGCAACACACCTAAAGCCAATAATAACCCAACAAAAAGCCGCAGTAAGAATAATCACTAAATCCCATCCCTGGCAACACCCCCCCCCACTCTTCATATATCTAAACTTACTCCCTGTTCAGTACATCCACACTTACTACTGTGCAATCTACATCTACAGGACCTTAAATTCCAATGTTAACCTTGACCTAAAACGCTTTCTTGATAGTTGTGACAGAACCCACAGGCACAACACCAGACACAAACATCTCTATGGCATTCCCCGTGTCCGACTAAACCTTTACAAAAATTCAATGTATGTCAAAGGCCCTAAAATCTGGAACACCCTACCTGAAAATTCCAAAACTGCAGACACATTCATCACCTTCAAAACTACCATCAGAAAACATCTTATCTCCCTGATACACCCTGTCAACTAATAATACGAATACTACCTGGTGGTTCACACTTACACTCACTCACCCATTTGACCATAAACAGAAATATCAATCTCAATCTCAAAATAATGAATCTTAACTAGTCAAAAGTTGGCCTGTGATACTCCAATACTGAAACTATGTATAGTGCCAAAACAAAAGCATTCACATCGCTAAACTCACAACTAGTATTTAGTCAGCCATAATACCAACTTTTCTCATAATTTTGTAACATTTTAAACCTAAGATTTAAGATTTAATATAAGTCTGCCCGAAATGCCTAGCCATGCTAGGCGTTCTAGTGGTACACTCTGTAATTATTATTTTACTACATGTAAACCACACAATAACCAAATTCTGTAAACTCAGCATTGTAATACTTATAGAGAATAAAGTTTGAAAAACTCAAGACAGCAATTCACCCCGATCCTCACCTCCAACTGAACTGAACAACTATAGGCCTATGTCAAACCTGCCCCTACTATCTAAAATCTTCGAAAAATTAATACACAAACAAGTCTACTACTTCGTATCCCACAACATACTCAACCCTTGTCAGTTTGGGCTCAGACCGAAAAAAGTACTAATGATGCTATTATATATATGCTTGAACTAATATACTCTGCACTCGAGAAAAATGAATTTCCCCTGGGACTGTTCATAGACTTACGAAAAGCTTTTGATACAGTTGACCATGACCTTTTGCACCAAAAACTTGAATATTACGGGGTCAGAGGGCACTCTCTCGATTACCTAAAATCTTAACAATAGAACCCAGTATGTACACACAAATGGAGTCTGTTCCACTACACAACCTGCTCTTGGAGTCCCACAGGGGAGTACTCTTGGCCCACTTCTCTTTCCCATTTTCATCAATGACCTACCAAACGCATCTAATCTCCTTAAACCCATTTTATTTGCCGATGACACAACTTATGTCTTTTCTCACCCAAACCCAACCATACTAACAGACACAGTACATGCTGAACTGCTAAAAATATCTATTTGGATGATTATAAACAAACTTACTCTCAGTATTCACTAAACCTACTTCATGCTTTTCGGAAACAGAGCTTCAAATGTACAGCTAAACATACTGATAAATGGTTCACCTATCTCGAGACAGGCAGAGGGTAAATTGCTAGGTCTCCACCTTGACTGCAATCTCAAATTTCAGACACACATACACTATTATTATAATCATGAGGAAGCGCTATACCCATAGGATTATACAGCACTCTTCGGGGGGGGGGATGGAAGGTATTCAGGCTTAATTCAGGGAACTGGAGCACAGATCCAATTCCCTAGATCAAGAGCCCCTCACCAGCGTCAAGGAACCTTCCTTGAGGGGACACACATACAGCAAATTTCCAAGAAAGTCTCCAAAACAGTAGGCATCCTTTCAAAAATACGGTACTATGTACCCCAATCAGCTCTTCTAGCTTTGTACCACTCTCATTTACCCATACCTCACCTATGGTATTTGTGCATGGGGCTCAACCACAGTAAATCACCTTAAGCCTTTAATAACTCAGCAAAAAGCTGCAGTGCGATTGATTACTAACTCCTGCATTAGACAACACACTCCATCACTTTTCAAAACATCCACACTTATTATTGTCCCTAATACATACACAGAACACTATATTCTAATGTAAACACTACTACAGAACACACAACCATAATACGAGACACAGATCAGTCTTTGATATTCCCCGTGTTCATCTCTCCCTATGCAAAAATACTATGAACGTAAAAGGCCCGAAGATCTGGAATTTAATGCCAGAACAAACTAAAGGACTCCTGTCTGCAAATTAGTTTAAGGCCCAAATAAGAAATCACCTCACCCAAAATTAACCAGACAAGCCATACCTAACCACTACCAGTTTCTCAGAAGGTACTCACATTGTGCTGATAAATGCTCAACCACTTACTTCTTTGAAATTAGGCTGTCTGTCATTTTCACCGTTTTAAATAGTAGATTGTAATACAGTACATCATAATGTAAATTGTTCCATTGTAATACCAAATTTCATTGTTTTAAATAGTACTAAACTGTAATATATCATATTGTAAATTGTTTTAAATTGTTACAATATAATACTGCAATCTTTATTAATTAATTCAATAGTGTAAAAAGTCTCTACTAGACTTATGAAAACCCTGTAGCATTACCTGATATAATATTAAATTCTCCTCACTCACTCTAACTCATCTACTGACCATATGAATTATGTATTATTGCCTTACTATTCTTAAGTTAATCTTTAAGTCTGCCCGAACTGCTCAGCATACAGAGGGGCTTTTGGCATGTACACCCAACTACTATATACCTCTGTACAACCATGTAATTTGTCAAAATAAAAAATCTAAATCTAAACCTACTTCATTCAGTTTGGGAGCAGAACTACAGATGTTCCTCTTAACATAATGATAAACGGATCACCTATCACAAAGCTCACAGAGCGAAAATTCTTAGGAATACACCTTGATAATAGACTCATATTTCAAACGAAACATAAACTGAGAAGGGTAAATAATTTTAATGTTCAATGTAATGGGGAGCCCATCACTTTGGTTTTCAGTAAAAATATTTGGAATCTCCTTAGACCCATGTATGTCAGGAGAATTGATAGGGAACAGTGTAGTAAAGAAAGCGAATGCCAGACTGAAGTTCCTGTATAGACAAGCACAGTGTCTACCTACTGAGGCTCGCAGAGGACCATGTCTAGCCCTTATACACAGAACATATGGATACGCTTGCTCTTCTTGGTACTTGCCTTGACAAAAAAACATGAAAGATAGACTGCAAAATCACCAGAACAAAATTCGTAAGATTTCATCCTGGGGTGGGACAAAGAACATGTAGGCAGGATGATACAGCAGTTGGAATATTCTAATGGTTTGAAGCACAGAGTAAAACAACTGAAGCTAAATCAGGTTTATAAAATGCCTCACAACAATGTCCAGAATATATTGCTGTCAATTTTGTCAAGGTTGGGAACCGCAGCATATAGTATATAGGGGAGGCAGAGCAAAACTTTGTAATACCCACAGTCATTGGACAGGCTTTCATACACCATTTTATTGTACAGCAGTTATAAAGTATGGAACAGGCTCCGCCACATGTCCAAAGCCAGTCATAGATGAACCTGTTAAGAAGTGCCAAAAGGTTCTGTGAATGTAAGCTACAGAAAGGAGGGGAATGATTTTCTATTTTTTAGCTAAACATATGTGTAAATTTTACCTTATTCCTGTAATGACCCTCGTATTGTAGTCTTAATGACCTTGGTGTAGTAGATAGTCTTTTTAGTATGATAATAAGATGTTATCTTCATTGTAGATAGTAAGAAAATATTATAACTTTATATTATTAATAATATGGTTATAAGGACCCCAATGGAAAATAAGTCCCCACTCTGACTTTTTTGGTTTTTATCCTAGGTTTATGCACAATGCTGCTATGTATGATAATTTATGTAACTGTATTTGTGTTTACCTGAATAAACTTACTTACTTACCTACTTACTTAAACACATGTACAACAAATTTCCAAGAAAATCTCCAAGACCGTAGGCATACTATCGAAGATACGGTACTATGTCCCACAGTCAGCCCTCCTGGCCCTATATCACTCCCTTATTTACCCCTATCTCACCTATGGAATCTGTGCATGGGACTCAAACAACAATAAATCATCTCAAACCATTAATTACCCAACAAAAGGCTACAGTCAGAATGATAACAAATTCCCACTACAGGCAGCACATTCCACCAATATTCAAACTCTTAACCTACTCACTGTACAAAACATCCATACTTATTATTGTATCTACTACTACATAGACACTAAATCAGATATAAAACCCTCCTCAAACTTTCCTTTACCAACTCAAAGGAACAATGACCATAAACAAGGCACAAACAAAACGTTACTGTCAATCCTACAGTGATAAGAAGGCAAAAAAATTTGATTATGAGCACAGATTTCCAAACTTACGAGGTGATATAAAAAAGACTGGGAAAAACCCTATCGAAATTCTGGGAACAAAAAAGATATCACGAAATAGCGAAATAAAATTAGCCAAAATCAGATGAACCCATTCTCCACCAACAGAAACAGCAAACAGACTCAATGAATTTCTTCTCCAATATAGGACCAAAACCATGCAATAAAATCCAAGCTCAGATACCCACCAATGACTACCTACCGGCAATACCGGAACCACACTGTTTCCTAGCTCGGATAATCCATACGAAGTCTGCCTTATTATCACGCCTAAAAACAAGGCCAGGAGATTTAAATACCTTACTCCTTTATATACAAAAAGTGTCACATGTTTCTATACCAATCATTGCCAACACTCTTTAACAAATCATTGAATCCTCACCTTCCCTACAGTATTCAAAATAGCAAGGGTCACCTCAGATCACAAAGGATGGAGACCAAACAGAGTTGAATAACTATAGGCCAATATCTCTTACCCCTCTTCAAAAATCTATCGATTCAATCTAATTCATAAGCAATATCTACTCCTACTCCTATTCTCCCAAAACATAACAACCCCTGCAATTGGTTTCAGGCTAATAAAAAAATTACTTGATGCCTAATTATACATCATGCTAGAACATATAATACACTGCAATAGAGAAAAGAAGTCCACTGGGGATTTTCATGAGTTACTTATAAAGCTTTATGATACAGTTGACCATGGACTTGCTCCACGTAAAAATTATCACACTATGGTATAAGAGGGCACTCCCTCAATACCTCAAGTATACTCGGCAAAGGAAGCCAATATGTGTACGCAATTGGGGCAAACTCTTCTGCAAAACCAATGTACAAGTTGGGTGTCCCACAGGGATGATGTCATTGGCCCTCTTCTCTTTCTCCTATACATAAAATGACCTACCAAATGCTTTCAAATTACTCAAACCCACACTAGTTTGCTGTTGACACAACATACGTCTTCTCCACCCGGAGCCAGTCACGCTAGCCAATACTGCTAAAAATACCGATTACAGAAAAATATCTACCTGGAATGAGTACTAACAAACTTACACCTAAACATTGCAAAAACTACTTCATTCAGTTTGGTAAAAGGCTACAGATGTCCCTCTTAAATAATGATAAACGGGATCACTATCACAAAGCTAAAGAGGGAAAATTCTTAGGAATCCACTTGATAATAGACTCAAATTTTTTACACATATACAAAACTTTCTAAGAAAATTTCCAAGACTGTAAGGCATACTAATCGAAGATACCGGTACTATGCTCCACAGTCAGCCTCCTGGCCCTATATCACTCTCTTATTTACCCTATCTCACCTAGGGAATTGGGTGCATGGGGCTCAACAACACGTAACCATCACAGACACTAAATTACCCAACAAAAGGCTGCTGTTCAGAAATGATAACAAATTCTCACTACAGGCAGCACACTCCACCATTGATATTCAATTACTCTCAAACCTACTCATCATACAAAACATCCTACTTATACTGCACCTATTTACATACATAGAACACTCAACTCTGATATTACCCTCCCTCAAAATCTCCTCTGCCAACCTCAACAGGAAACATTGACAGAACACAAGGCAAGATACTCTTTGATATTCTGTGTCCATCTCACGTATGCAAAAACTAATGCACATAAAAGGCCCTAAATTGGAATTCATTACCTGTAAATATAAAAGAAACACTACCTGTTTATAAAATTCAAGCTCTTCTCAAGATCACTTACTCACCAAAAACCAAAAAAATATGAATAACTGAACCTTATAAAATTGTATATCTTAAAATGTTTTCACAAATTTTATCTCATAAATTGTTAAACTAAAACCCAATATAACTTTATTATTTTTTAAATTCACTACCTAAAGAATATTCCTTCTACTGAAATTTACAACAATGCATGCAACATATGACCTGTCTTTGTAATATCATTGTGTTTCATAGTACTCCCAGTTTACATTGTGTTTTCACTGATTTCTCATTGACCTTAGTTAATCTTTAGTTAATTTTAAGCCAGGCCGTAATGCTATGCATAGTATAAGTGGCTTTGGCCATGCTTGCTCTTATCTGTATTTTTTTTTTTTGTACCTCTGTAAGTGTGCTCAAATTATAAATAAATAAATAAATAAATAAATAAATAAACAGATCACTCTTTGATGTCTCGTGTCCATCTCGCACTATGTAAAAAACTCAATGCACATAAAAAGCCCAAAAATCTGGAATTCATTACCTGTCTGTTTATCAATTCAAGACTTCTTAAAAACCACTTACTCACCCACTACTAAATAAATATTGAATAACTGTACTTCATAAATGTGACCCTATCAAACTGTTTTTTTAATTACATTACCTGATAGAATAATCCATTCTCTTGAATGCACAGTAACTCACCTAATGACCATATGACCTGTTTCTGCACTACAAATCTTTGATTTGATTTGATTTGATCTGATTAATAAATTGCATGACTTTATATAGTATACTGATCATTTTTTTATATTATACATTGTACTGCTACAAATATGTACAAGTATAATGCTTCTTAATCGAAATGTTCAAATTTCATAGTTTAAAATACTCATTTGTACTTCACGTTGTAATTTGTTTACTGTAATTTTTACCACTGAATATATCATTGCTTAGTTAATCTTAAGTTAATTTTAAGCCTGCCCGTAATGCCCTGCATACAAAAGGCTTTTGGCATGTGCACCCAACTACTATAATTCCTTGTACGACTATGTATCATGTCCAAATAAAAATTATTATTATTGTTATAAATTTAAGTAAGAAGAGGTAGAGGAGTGAAGGTGAGGGTGGTAGCAGGTGTGTGGCAACACTGCTGCTCTGCCGCATGATCAGTGTTGATGATGAGTGACCCACAGATCCACTCAAATATCCTGTTATAACTTTATAACCGCTGTTATTTAGACAAGAGCTGCAAGTTTAGTGTTGAAGAGCGACCATGGAGCTCCCACAGCCTCCTCCGGGTAAGTACAACACTGTGGGTGAGGCAGAGTAATTGTAACTATCAACTACAACTGTCACACTCCAACCACAACAGTAATATAAACCTCGTTGTTGCCACCTTCAGAGGAGCTATGTTGGATACCTTGAGGCTGTGAGCTCTTGATCCGAGGAATAGGGAGCGTCCTCCTCTTCCTTGGATTCAACAGATGATTCCATTTTATCCCTTCCAATAGTATGTCATTGATGTCAGCTAGGCCTACCTATATACCTAGTACATGAACTTGTAGAAGAAATAAAGATATTGTATAAATATCATTTTTGTGCTGTATAGCTTCCAAGGGTTTTTAGTGCTTTACCACAGGTTCTGCTGCATGTTAATATTTACAGTAGAATACTGTTTACCTGGGAGAGCGTTTTCGGGGGTCAACGCCCCCACGGCCCCCCCCCACGGTCTGGACCAGGCCTCCTGGTGGGATCAGCGCCTGCAACAACCAGGCTGTTGCTGCTGGCTGCACGCAAACCAACGTACGAGCCACAGCCCGGCTGGATCAGGAACTGACATTAGGTGCTTGTCCAGTGCAGCTTGAAGACTGCCAGGGGTCTGTTGGTAATCCCCTTATGTGTGCTGGGAGGCTGTTGAACAGTCTCGGGCCCCTGACACTTATTGTATTGGTATCTTAACGTGCTAGTGACACCCTGCTTTTCATTGGGGGGGGGGGATGGTGCATCGTCTGCCATAGTTTTTTGTTTTTTACTTCCGTTGTTGGTGATTTTCGTTGTGCAAGTTCGGTACTAGTCCCTTAGGATTTTCAGGTGTTATAATCATGTATCTCTCCTCCTGCATTCCAGGGAATACAGGTTAGAAACCTCAAGCGTCCCAGGTAATTGAGGTTGTTTTATCTCGTTTGCGCGCGTGAAAGTTCTCTGTAATTTTCTAGGTCGGCAAATTTCACCTGCATTTTGAAAGGTGCTGTTAGAGTGCAGCAATATTATAGCCTAGATAGAAACATGTGAACTGAAGAGTGTCATCATTGTGGCTTGCCTCCCTAGTTTGATGGTTTCATTATCCAGTCCTGTAATTTTTCTAAGCAGAGGCGATTGATACAATGTTATGGTCCTTGAAGTTGGAGATCCTCCGACCATAATCACTCCAGGTCTTTGAAGTTGGTGTTTCGCTCTATTTTGTTGGCCAGAAATTTGTTTTGTACTCTGATGAGATTTAATTTCCTCATGGTTACCATATCTGAGAGTAATTGATTTTCTCATCGTTGAATTCATATTGTTTTCTGCAAGCCCACTGAAAGATTTGGTTGATGTCCGCCTGGAGCCTTGCAGTGTCTGCAATGAAGACATGTCATGCAGATTCGGGGTGTCATTATGCAAGGAAGGACACGGTGCTGTGCTGACATCCTTGTCTATTGTCGGTTATGAGGATGAGGAACAAGATGGGAGTCTAGTACTGATGCCTTGTGGAACAGGCTTTTCACCGTTAGCTGCCTCGGACTTTACTCTGTTGACGACTACTCTCTGTGTTCTGTTAGTGTGGAAATTATAGATCCATCGACCGATTTTCTGTTATCCTTTAGCGCGCATTTTGTGCGCTATTACGCCATGGTAACACTGTCTCGAAGACTTTTGCAAAGTCTGTATTATATTACATCTGCATTCTTTTTGTCTTTCTAGTGCATTTAGGACCTTGTCGTAGTGATCAGTAGCTGAGACAGACAGGAGCGACCCTGTTTTCTAACCCTGTTGCCCTGGGTTGTGATTTATTGGGTAACTGATGGGTTTCTCGGATGGGGTGGTGATCTTGCTTCTTAGGACCCCTTCCAAAGATTTTTTTATGTTATGGGATGTTAGTGCTATATGGTCTGTAGTTCTTTGCTGTGGCTTTACTGCCCTTTGTGGGAGTGGGGCTATGTCTGTTGTTTTTATGTACGAGGGTCGACCCCCGTGTCATGCTCCCTCTCCATAGATGGAAAAGGCTCGTGATAGGGGCTTCTTGCAGTTCTTGATGAACACAGGTTCCACGAGTCTGGCCCCTGGGGCAGAGTGCATGGGCATGTCATTTATCGCCTTTTCGAAGTCATTTGGGCGTCAGGATATCATCGATAGGCTTTTGTAATCAAATTTGTGGTCTCTCATAAAAAATCATTTTGATCTTCGCCTATCAGTCTGGTAGCGGCTTGCTAAAACTGAGTCATATTGGGACTTGAGTAGCTCACTCATTTCCTTTGCTGTCCATCTGTGTAGGACCCATCTTGTTTAAGTAGGGGCCCCAATATGGGGCGTTGTCTCTCGGTTTGATTTGGATAGGAGACAGAAATACTTTGCGGTTTTTCTTTCGATTTCATTTATAAGCTTTTAGTTCTTCCGCGATTCCTGACTCCTAAAGGATTCTTTTAGCTTAAGTTCGATTTGCTTGTTATTTATCTGACCTGGTGTCTCTCCCTGCGCATTTCAGATATATTGACCTCTTTTAGACCGCTCTGTTAATTCTTTTCGTACGCCTGTAAGGAGCGCTGTCTTTTATATTTTACATCTACTCCTCTTTATTCTGCTAGAGGAATAAGCCTTGGATACATGAGTGCCTCCGAGTTAACTGTTATAGGATAAGTAGGGTCTGTGTGTTGCCTTAGTATATCGTCCGATTATTTCGGTTAGGACTTGGTTTTACTTGGTCCCACTTTATGTTTTTGTTATTGAAGTTGAATTTGGTTGAATAGCTCCCTCGATGACTAGTCTCATTTTGTCGAGTCTGCGGGCTCCTCGCATACATGTCTGAACCTCGATTATGTTGTGATTGAGTATATTGTTTTTGTTATGGTGACATTTCTTATCAGATCATCATTGTTTGTGAATTGGAGGTCTAGTGTATTCTCCAGTCCCACCTTAGGCTCTTTTATTTGTGTTTAAATTGAATTTTGTGCAGAGATTTAAAAGCTAGTGTGAGTGTGAGTTTTCATCAGAGCTGCCTTCTGGTGTTATTCTGCAACAATATTATTTGGCTATATTCCTCCATTTTTAGGTGCCTTAAGTTGAAATCCCCCAGGAGCAAGATGTTGGGGTGCAGGAGCTGGAAGGATTTTCCAGACAGTGGTCAATTTTAACAGCTGCTTCCTGGAATTGCTGGGATGTTGCATCCGGAGGTCTTGTGGATACCGCACAATGACTAGGTTTGGTTCTCGACTTTACTGCTAAAACTTCCACTACGTCATTTGAGGCATTAGGCGTCTGTGCAAACAAGTGACTCTGCCAATGTACAGGGCCAACCCCCACCTTTTGCCTGTTCACTCTGTCACTTCTGTATAGGTTGTACCTGGATCCATATTTTTTCATTGTCCAAGTGTTCCTTATGTGGGGTCTCAGTGAAAGCGCGAATTGCCTTTGCTCTGCAAGCAGTCCACGGATGAAAGGGTATTTTGTTGTTTGTTGCAGGCTTTTAAGACCCTGTATATTTTGCAAAGAAGAATGTTATCGGACTGGTGGTATTGTTGGTAATTGGGGGGGATTTTTTGTCCGGCATTGTATATGTATTGTGCGTTTGGGAGTGGAGGCCATCGACTGTGGTTCCATCCAGGAATGACTGGATTTGGTGTACGATTTCTGCATTTCCCTGCCAGTTTTTTTTACTTCCTGGCACTAAAAAACCTCTCCCTCTTGAAGTGGTGTGGCTACCCCAGGTTTTCCTTGGGCCTGGATGATTTGTTATCTTTTTGTCCTTTTTAGTGGTTATGCCTGGCATTTAGTTATAGCAGGTCTTTCTGTAACTGAAGAGGTACAACCCAAAAATTATTTTTTTTTTTTATCCCCCCCCCCCCCCCCCCCCCCCCCCCCCCCCCCCCCCCCCCCCCCCCCCCCCCCCCCCCCCCCCCCCCCCCCCCCCCCCCCCCCCCCCCCTGGGTTGAAAAGCTTACAGAAGGGGAAGTTTGCATTTTACTTGTTGTCATTATGTGAATGCATTTTCTAGGGTGTTCATAGTTGCAGTCCCATCTGTTTTTCCAGATTTCCCATGCCAGCAGATACAAGTGCCATAGTATGTGCCACAGGCTTGGTTTCCGCTTGCCTTGGGTTTCTGTGACTGTATTCCTGTTGGTGCATGTTTCACTGTCTTATTCTATCCTCCCTAGCTCAACATTGGAGCTCCCCACCAGTTGTATTTTTGGTAATTTATCCTCACTATTGTATTGGAGTCCTCTTGTTTGCTTATTTCATGCGGTATTTTAGTTTGCAATAATGGTTTTATATTTCTCTTGACTACACATGTTTCCTACTTGGCTCCTATCCCCTATGAGGTCATTTATATGTATTCCTTCCTGCGATTTAATTCAGACTACTGGACAACATCTCGAGCTTCCATTACTGTCTCCAGTGACAGTATCTCCAGCTTCACCATTTCTGTCTCCAGGACAGCACCTCCAAGCTTCACCATACTGTCTCCAGGACAGCACCTCCAGCTTCACCATTTACTGTCTCCCAGGACAGCACCTCCAGCACTACTAGTTACTGTCTCCCAGGAGATTCATCTCCAGCCTTACGTTTGTAAACTACATGGCCGTATCAAGGCAGTACATTCAGCCCAGACTTTTTATGCGGGGGGGGGATCCATCTGTGTAGAAGCTTCGGTTTCTATGAAAGCAGTTTTGATTTTGGCCTCTTTAATCCCTTGGATTTAGCCAAGATTTTCCATTTGGGCATCCCCAGAAACACTTCTTTTTAATACGCTTTAGAGTTTTGGATATCGCAAAAGGGGTTTTGACCCCAAATTTCCCAAAAAAATGAAAATTTTATCCATGTGGAACCCCGTTTTTTTTGACTGACCAAGACTACACACAGTTCATAATATTTGAATGGTTGATTTATGCAATTCACTAGCAACCTCTTAATATTATTTTAAAAAACCTTTAAATGAAGCTCTAGCTATTTGTTTTTCTGTTTAACTCTTTTTGTATATTGGGAAAAACTTACCGTCACTTCCTGATTTTTAATGTTTGTGTTTATAAGGGCCTACAACCCCCTCCGGTTTTCAGTCTCTTTTTTTTGTCCAACAAACTGTTTGAAACCCCTCCCGGGTTCGGACCAGCCAGGGTTCGGCCCTAAGGGTTTGGGCCCCTCAAAGGGGGCGGACCATCAAGGTTTTTGGGCCAGTCGTCTGCTCTGATCAGGGTACTTATTTTTAAAACATATGGTCGGGGTTTGAGCTACCTGAAAGGATC